ACACAATTGTAAACCTGGACCTTCTGTAAATAAACTGCGTTGTTTTAAATTACGACACAGTTCGAGCTTTTTTTACAAATCAACTCCACCGCCATTAAGTTGTCGTTGGATCTGCGCACCGTGCGATATATTCGTACGGCCCTAACATTCTTCTTATATATAATTTCATTTATTTATTATTATTTATTTCAATTTAATATGGGAAAGATTTTTCAAATAAGTTATACACAATAGTAATAATATCATTTGTTATATTTTACTGATGAAGATATCTATTATTGATTGTAATTCTTATACTTTAATAAAACAGTGAGTACATTATTCGGTAAAATAATTAGGTAAAATAACGAACACATCATTTCTTAAGTATATAATTTTTATTGATTGATTTTTTATTTATTCTATTCGAAAAAATGCACGTACGTGTAATAACTGTAAAAAGAAATCAAACTATACAAATGACGCCTGGAACCGAGCGGAGTAGTATAACCGTCATGTAATCTCTACTCTACGTTAATATGTACATAATAAGCAGGTATATACATATAACGACTAGTGGCCACGGGACCGGGCCTAAACTTTAAAAAGTACACACTGAGAAAAATGAGAGGGGGCAAACAACAGTCAATCCGTATCCAGTCACCATATCACAGTCCCTTTCTGTGTAAAAATTTCGTACATGTTCAGAAGTAGCAAATGCTGCTTCCAGATACATATGCTCTAAGTTCCGATTAAAATGAAAAAATTTCGACCAAATTTTTATTATAGAAAAACGCATTTTAAAGCCCCCTTGATCACTTCACCACAGACGGCGCTGAGATCGGAAATCCTAAAATCTTACATCGCTGTTCTATGTCGAAACTGAGCAGAAAAGTCCATAAGATGCAATGCTGTATGCATCTGTATCCTAAGTCTGCGTCTGTGCATTACTAAATCGTCAGCGTCAGCCAGCAGTGTGGACAATTCAGGACAGCAGACAGAAAATTATATTGTGTGAGACATCTGTAAAAATTGTAAATCTATGTTATAGGCTTTTTATAAGAGGAGAGGGCTTTTAGCTTTTACTTTTATGAAATTGTCCGTCTGTAATCTTCTCAATTAAACAATTTTCGCGCGCTTTTGTAAACTTCCATATTTAAGGTTATTTGCGGTTGTTAAATAACTACGCGTGGCTACCATGACTTGTAAGTAAACCTTTTAATTAATAACTGTGAAAAATGAATTAATAGAGTAGTTTTAATTTAATACAATTGAGATATGATCATAGAAAAATAATTTTCTTTTAGCATCACTTAAAATATTGGATTGGACACCTGAACACTTCATTGCTAACAGAACAACGTGTAACAAGATTCTAAATAATCCTGATGTTGTGAAGGAAATTCCTTCCCTAAATTATGTACCACTACATTATTTTAGGGACCGACAGTTGGTCAGATTTCGAGGGATGATTCAGGATATGCATAATCCTGAATATTATTTTCAACGATATGAAGTTAGAAATACTCAATCTGGTTTACATGAAACTAGAAGTGGAATGTATGCAGACTTCGCTAGATGCATGGTATTTATACAGACAATATTCTTTTTATAGCCCTTTACACAGTTAATGATCCTTGTCTCAATTCTATGGACATTTTGGATCAATGTTAGGGCTTATAGTAAATATAAATGGTAGTTACAGGTGTGAGATACTAGAAGAACAGTTTATCTCATGTATAATACTACCAACAGTGCTCTATTTATCCAATGTATTTTTCGTAATTATTGCATTTTTTAATATTATTGTTTTAACTAAAACTTTATTTAATTTATGCTTTCAATAGACACATGAAGAGATATTGTTCGAGTCTGAAAAAAACTGTAGTGCTGAAAGACATACTTGTGTTATTATATCGACACCTGGTTTGAATGAATGGGTAAAGGAAAAGTTTAAGAAACCATACTGTGAGAACTCAAGTACAGCTATGACTTTTAAAAGAAGTTTTGATCAAAATGATCATGAAGCCATGGATTGTTCTGAACCAGTTTGTAAAAAGGATAAAGTTTCATTAGATGAAGAAAGTAAAAAAATGGATACTCTAGAACACAATGAGAATAGACAAACTTTAGTCTCAAAAGAATATCTACTAAATTTGCCAATTCCAGTGGATGATGGTATAGCCTGTATTGTTAAGGTTGTAATACATTCTTTCCTGTTATTTGAAAAATAGTAGAACTGTAACCATTTGCACAGTTCATAGAAAGGCTTTTGTAATAATCTTATACATGTTTATTTACAGATATATGAAGATGCAGCTATGAAGTTGAATCAAATTATTGAAGTAATAGGTTTTGTATCTTTAGATCCACTTCTAAGTACTTGCAATATGGATGAGACAATGACAGAAGCTGAATTGAATGTACATCATCCACCTACATCTCTAGTTCCTCGGTTACATGCTGTTAAGTTAATTCAGCCTTTGGAAGCAGAAATTGAAAGAGCTCCAGACATTATGTCCAAAGCAAAACTTATACGCAGTAATCTCCATTTAGTGTTAAGTCAACTACTTTTCGGAGATCACTTAGCTGCCGATTATTTAATTTGTCATTTACTTTCGTCAATGTAGGTATTTATAGATAGATGTTTGTGCAAAATCATATAATAATAAGTACATATTAAATCGATTATTTTTTAACGTCGATATGTAAGATCTTGTCCTCAGGAGGAACTTTTGCTGATTTTGAACTTATTTATGAAATATGAATCTTTGAATTTTGTAATTTTTTTCTGTGGAAACAAACTGTTCTTGCGAATTTTCAATTATAGGAAAATTACATTAAATTTAATGCAATAATGTCTTCTATCTAAAAAATTAATTATAAAATATCAATAAGTCTTATAGATTAAAGAAAAAATGTATAACTGCAGTCCTCTGAAATGATGACGACTTACATAGATGGAAAAAGGTTATCGGTTTACCATGAAGCAATTAAACAATATTACCGAGTGGTCATTCCTTTTTAGATACATGAGAAGAGATTATTTTTGTCTTGGAACATATCCGTTAAATTTAACACATTTTTCGATTGGTAAATATAGTACATTTGCGAAAGATTTGTATAGATTTTTAACGATGTTCGTAGAGAAAAGTCACTTATTGGAAATAACTTTGGAAAATTTAAATGATTTAGCGTTATCGCCGAAGTAAGTAAATGTAATGTATTGGAAAAAATCTTTTTTAGTTGGTCGAGTATAAGTCGTATTGTGTACATACATTTTTGTTTTGTATTGCTTACAGAAAAGACTACGATTGTAATAGGTTGACCAGCGGGCTGTTTCAACTTAGTGATAATACTCATCTTGTAATAGATGAAACAGGATTAACCACAGGTCAAGTGTCACCGGCCGGCCGGGAAAACTATAATGTGATCTGTGATTTAATTAATTTCCAGAAAGTGACGTACGACTTTAAATTTTATAAGATGGAATATGAGACAGACATTCCGGTTTTAATATTATCGGAGGCCAAGTCATTTATTCCTGTGCGTAAGAAAGTTGAACAAGAATAGAGTTATGTATTTCAACTGTGTTTATAAAGCACCAGATTCAAATAATATGCACGCTTGCTTTAGTGCCAGAATCAAGTGGCGTTAAAAGTAGACGCGGAATCAAAGGACGTTTATCCTCATGTCATAGAAATTGCGGAACAATATTTAAAAGATGAAAACCGACTGGCGGATATCCGCCAATATTTAAAAATTATCAAAAGCGCCAAGTTCGAATTTGACGAAGAGATTGTAAAGGTAATAGTTGTGTGCTATCTTTTTATACACGATAGTCTTGCACATTACTTCTAATACCTTTAATTGTTTTCTGTCATTCTTCAAGGAAGTTCAGGACGATTTCGTGAAAATGAGACAAATGCATAAAAATGTGAGCATCGATCACTTACACTCATTGATGATACTGGCCAGATTGTTGTCTTTGTCGCATGGATCGAATACTTTAACCACGGAATATTGGAAAATGGCTGTACAAATGGAAGTAGAAAGATTGGGCAGATTGCCAGAGAAGAAAGAAGTTTAAATGCTACGGAGAATAGAGATGGTATATTATTAAATATATACTCTTTTTATTATAGTTTTACGTATTTTTATAGAATTTGACATTCTTCGAGCAGAATTATCGAAACATATCGAATTGAACGAAGCTATGCTTCAGAATTCATATTGAATTATTGTGCTGATGTTACTTCGGAAATCCAATAGATATCAGAGAAATTCGCTAAATTTCACTTCGCTCCAAAGCAAAAATAGCGGATATGATTCTTCGAGACAGTTCTTCAAAAACATTTCCACTCGGAAAATATTTTTAAGAAATCCTACATGGAATAATTGTGTTCCATTGAACTTTAGACGTGATCACGTGAAATTTTGGAAACATCTTGAACGTACGTTTTCCTTGTTCACAGAAACAGATTGTCAGTTGTTGTTCAGTTTATCGATCACGAGAAATCTACGCTGGCGTTCGTTCGGATTGATAAACTTGACCAGAATCGAAAACGTTTAATGAACCATTCGCATTTAGTAATTTGGCTCTCCTCTCTTCGCGTTCTTTTCGGATCAATTCGAGCCCCTTTCTCGCTGCTTGAGCGTATCTTTTGGAAAGCGCTACCTCTCCTTTCGCTCCTGGTATATGACCTGTGTAGCCAACGATTGGTGGTCTTTCGGGAGAAATTTCGTAACCTGCAAAGAGTATCATGATTAGTTAGGTTCGCACAGTGTTGATTGTCAATCGAGACTAAAGCTGTAAATAAAGCGTGAACTTCGAAACAGTTTGAATTTTGAATTGATCAAGTGTTGATTTGCAATTTATCAATTTTAGATAGTACAGTGCGATCTTACTAGATTTTTTTTATTACTTCAGATGCATATACACTGTAACGAATGTTGATCAAATTAATCTAGCTGTATTCCCAAATCTAAATGACCTTATCGAGTTTGTCTGTTCTAAGTTCCTTGTGAGATAAAAACATGTATGAATATGAATTGATGATATTTTTTAATATACTCATTGAGTTAAGAATGTTGCACATCTATAATTCATTACGTTCAGTACAACTTAACGTTCGATCTGTTTGATCAATTCAAACTCTTACAGCTTTAATCGAAACAGTCACGAAATAGGTTGCAAGAAACATACTGAACGTGACTAGATTTTGATCGTGAGCATGATCGACTTCGTTGAGGGCGGCGATGTTGTCCTCCCTCGCTCTAGACATGAGGTTTCTTGAGTCGCGTCTCTCAGCGCGCGCTTTTGTAAGATCCCTGCGTGCTCTTAGTTTACTTTGATTCTCACGCCATTCCTTACCGCCTTCTTCCACAGCTCTCATAAACGACAGGCCATACCTGCTATTAAATCCAGGAATATATCCTATAATTGAACGATTCAAGATATCTTAATGTGTCCGTGCAACGATGCAACTTCGAATGGGAACGAGCAAAATCAAGAAATTGTTTAATAGGATATGCCCATTCAGCAAAATACAAGAAGCGTGCATTTTCTAGAACTTTTGTATGAATACCAATAAATTTTATTTTGTAAGTTTTTGTAATAATTTTGTAATAATCTTTTTAACATGAACAAATGAATGTACAACATGCTAACAGATGAATGGTAAGGAATTTATGACCGGTTTAAAAAGCGTTCGTTTTCGCGTGTACACAAAATCTATTGCGAGGCAAAAGGAAATTCTGTTGAACAATACATTCTTTTCTAAATCTGAAATAAGACTACAACATTTGAAACAAGTTGACCCAGTTATCCATATTTAGAGTGGAAGTACTTCTAAAAGTTGGCGACAAAAAGAATATTTTCTATATTATTACAAAAACTCTTCGTGCTAGGAAAGATTGTTAAAATCACAAATTCAATTTCTTTAAAAAATTTCTTAAGCTATTAGTTTTATATATTTTTTGTTACGTATATAATTAAACATACATCTAATTTTCTAACTTTTTGTAGATTGCATCATTAACTTCCCGATCTTCCTAGATTATTAATTTGCAACTTCAACAACTTCTTTGGAAGTACAAAATAAAAATCTTCATAGTATATGAATTTATTATATTGGTCTATAATATATACAGTAAATTCTCTCCAATTGTTCCTCAGCTTGTAAACAAAAATG